ATAATTTTCTGAATTAAGCCGAGTACTGGTTAGTGCTGAGTTAACTCATAGGACTTCCTATTGACCTAAGCCTTACAATTTACAGCATGTTAAGGTTTTTTCTTTGCGTACCATAAAAAAACTATTTAAAAACTGCTTTTATTTTATTATTTTTTTTACCTATTCTTTTAAGCAAACGAAAAAAATAATTAAAATTTTGCTGCTTTTATTTTTATATGCAAAAATTCAGGAACAAAAATTTCGGTTAATGATGTTATAGGAAAACATCGCTAATTAACGTTAAAAACGCAGGAAACTTGCCATTAAGAAACATTTCAGCTGTTGTTTTAATTTCATAAATTGCATTAAGGATAAAAAAATTATCTTTCAAAGCTTCGTTTTTATTTTACGCGCATCTTCTATTTTGCTTCAGCTTTGGAGGTATAGCCCCTTTTTCCATCATAGAATACATTTTAGTGTACATAATGGAATCAATTTTATTTCAATTATGTTATGTAAATATTTAAATGGCGATTGTGTCACGCTTGAAGAAATATTATGTTTACATTTGAACTTGAACCTAAACAAAAGTTCATTATAAAATTGTACGTAACAATAGTTTATTTTTCTTTTTTGATTATATTTAGACATATAAAAAAATTGCACAAAAATAAATAAATAAAAACGTTTCTTAGATTCATTTTACTAATATTCTAAAATAAACATATATATTCCTCTTTTTTACTTTCTCGTATATACGTAGTATAGAGAAAGTATTGTAATCGTGCAAAAAAAAAAATCAAGATTTTTACAAATCTCGACGTTTTACACCTCACTGATACGGAAAAACATAATTTTGCAATCTTGTCCGTATGTCTGTGTGTGTGTGTGTCTGTGTGTGTGTCTGTCCGTGTGTAAACACGATAACTTGAGTACCGTTACAGCTAGGTTGATGAAATTTCATATATAAGTATTTTATCAAAATCGTAGATCCGTATCAACTTTTGAGCGATTTCCGATAACCGGAAGTGGTACTTTTCCTACTTTGAATTTTTTAAAAGCCTATAACTTGAGTACTATTTCAGATAGATAAATGAAATTTCACATGTAAGTAAAAGAGCTAATTCTCTACCTTCTGTTAAATTGTGAGTAATTTCCGTTGACTGGAAGTAGTAATTTACGCTACTTTCGATTTCTCAAAAAACTAATGTAAATTTTAAAAGTACTAATAATATTGAGCACTATTATGCGCTTTTTTATTTGCGTTCACTTGGTGTGCAATTAATTTGTCTACGAGATTTTATTCTATTTTTAAAACTTTAAGTATTTAAAATGGATTAAAAATCATGTCTATAGCCCGAGTTTCCATCCCCTGTTATTTTATATAAGAATATTCGAGAAAGTTTAGGGGAGATCACTCCCGGTTTATTTCATTATGTTTTTAAAAAAAATGAATCAGTATATTTACCATTCCGGAGTTTTTGAACAATTAATAAACAGTGTCGATATTGATTAATCATTTTTCACTCTAGATTTTGTAATTAATTAATCCAATCCTGAAATGCATGAATAATTAATCGCTTATGATATTTAGCAAGATTATATACTTCATTAATTGATCAGACCACATAATTATGCTTTACTAATTGGCCAGTCCAGATAGTTTATATTTATCGATCATTCCTTATACTCTAATTTAGAGGGCCATATCTAATATTCGTCATTTATACACATTAAGATTGAAGCATTACTCTATTCCGATAATCAACATCCGGATATTCAGTGTTCGGTCCGGACATTTCGCATTTAGCGTCCAGCCTGGATATTCAACCAGTACTGTCCAGCTTTAAAGCTGGCCTCGTTATGAATCTGCCAGCGAAAGTCGTTAGAAAGGAAATGGCCATTAGGCCGAGGACCGGACGGCTATGGCCGATGATTCATCGTCGTTTGCATGAATGTGTAAGGAAAATTATAATAAACGGGAGAAGGGGGGGGGGGTGGAAGCGGTGTGTGGCCGCACATCAAGATGTCTAGTTTGGTGGACACATAAATCAATTTCATGCACATCCTTTAGGTTCGAGAAAAGAAAAAAAATATTCCAGAATATTCCATGAAAAAAATTATTCCAGAATATTCCACATAAAAAATATTTTTATACGTGTCGGATATTAACTTGACCTATATTCCTTTTTGAGAGTTAATTCACCCCCCCCCTCTACCCCCCCCCCCCATTTCGTCATGAATAACAACAACACAAAAAGCCATCTCATGATTTGCTCCCTAAATACCATGCATATTTTATCAACACACGTTGTTGTTTTGTTTCGTTTTTTTTCATCCATCCAAAAAAATAAATATTTTTTTTTCTTTTTAAAGAAAAAAGAAATAAAATTCCATCCCCCCTCCCTCACCCCCACCCCTCACATGCCCCTGTAATGATGGATTAAAGGAGCCAGCCGGATAGCCCGATTGATAACACTGTATTATTTTTATCAAATATGAATGGAATGTTCTTTCTCAC